AAAGATTGGGCGCAAATGGAATTAGCTCCAGCTCAAGTCCATACCCAGAACGGACGGTTTTCTCTTCTTTCCCTTCCCAAAGGTCTTTGTTAAGGTTTACCAGGAAAGGCTGGAAGGATTCGCTGTCATCTTCTACATCCCAACACTGTTTCTTGCACAGGTTTGGGATACAATGGCACATTTTGGGGTCAATATGCACCATCAAAACCATTTCAGTGTGCTTCTGATAAACTGTGAGAACAGACTGGTACCTTTAAATGTTAAGTAGAACCTCTATTTACGCCTACTTATGCCTAAACATACGAATTTTCCCACATCTGAGGTGAAATTCCATCAAATATTCGACTCGACACCCGAAATAAATGTCCAATATACGTCAAAGTCATAGAAAAAATAAATAAATGAAATTAGAATAATTTAAAGTTCAGGTAGTGAAAGTTAGAGTAAGTTAGGGTACGTCCGGTATCTCACTCTCCACCTCTACCTCCGTTCACCAATAAGTGCCAATAAAAAAAAACCTTTTATTGATTATTTCTTCTTTCTTCAAAAGAACAAACAAGCAACGAAAGCAACAACACTGGTAGCAAGACATTAATGAACTTCTCAGAATTGTGCTGCAACTGTACAGAAGCTTAAGGAGGTGTGTGTCTGGGTATCTGACTGTGTGTGTGTGTGTGTGTGTGTGTGTGTGGAAGAATGAGAACCCAGGTTCCCCAGATTGTGCTCAGTTATAGTGCAAAGGGGCCACCAGCCGAACCCTTTTCAACCCATGAAACCATCCAACCTCTTAACTAAAAGCTTCAACAGAAGGACGACGGAGGCGATTTGAAGCTAAAATTTCCTGTCAACTGCTCTTCACACATCTCTGCTGACTATGATTTCGAGAGGGATGTACACTCTGCGGCCTCAGCGCTTGCAACATTTAGGGTCCAGAACATCTTATACTTTCTATTATTAAGCAGAAAGAGGAAGAGAGAATGAGGCAGTTGGGGGTACCGAAGACCTCTTCCCCTTCCTTTGGTTCGTTCTGTTGCAAAGTCATGAATGAGCAGGGTTCCTGGCAAACAAAAAGGAGAAGTTTCTGTCAAGAGTGTGAGTGTGTGTGTGTTTGTGTGTGTGTGAAGAGGTCAGGCGGTTCCCATTTCATTCAAGTATTC